GCACTTTTTTTTTTTTTTTTTTTTCCGAATGGAATATAATTTTCTCATAAATTTATCCACTACGAATTTATCACCTCCTCAAACCGAATCGTTGGTACAGTGACAATAAACTGGCTTCCACCTTTCATTGTGAAGGTCAAGTTTGGGATTGTATAGGTTGATTGACTTGCACTACATGGAAAATATATATAAATCATGAGCCAAAACTGATGATTCACAAAACACACAACAACTCACAGAACGTGGTGTTAACAAATTAAACGGACCTGAGTATATAGCAATAGTCCAAAATAAATCCGGATGGATAGTGATAACGTTTCTCGGTTATGCGAGAATTGAACTATAAAAGACGAAAGTAGAATTAGAGTTCAAAATTTCACTGGCTTAAATATGGACGATAAAATAACGTTTATCTATAACTTACGTTGTTCACAATAAACGAATAAGTTGGATCGCTCAAACGTGTAGTTGCGGTGCCTGAGTCGAAATTTGCAGCGAACCCAAGATTGGTCAAATTATTACCCACAGCAATTTGTGTCACAATGATATTATAAGTCGGGCTGCCAAGAAGCTGGAAAGATAAAACAAAGATGCAAAAAATATAAAAAGAGAAGAAATAGCGAGTGACCAATTCTTGCTTACTTCGATTTTTGAAGATTAAAGGGAGTTGTTTTTTGTTTGTCACTCCCTTTATCTCCAAACTTAATTTTTCCACTTCCATCAGTGATAAAACACACAGAGAAAGAATTTGCAGTAAGACCTTTGTTAGCTAAAACGCTAGGGACAGATATACCGTCCATACCAAGTCCAAACACACCATTAAGACCACGGTGGGTCAAGTAATAACCGGTTTGATTATTTCCACATCTGAAACATAAGATATATTCGTTAAAATTCTTACAACCACATACATGTTTATTCTTTTCTAGAAAAAGAAAGTACTCACCCGAATGTAATTGGGACATCGACAACGTCTTGTGGAATAGTATCTGTACCAAAACGCAAAATATCATCTACCAATATACCTGTACTCGTGTTGTTGTCTTTTGATATATGGTAAGAACAAGCGTTAAGAGTTGGAGAGCATCCTCTTGTGGGTCCGCACTTAGCACTATTGCATGGAACTGGCTTGCTAGTTGTCGAATTACTAGGACTGTATATATCTAGTTCGATTTTCTGTTCAACCAAATTTAAATAAGAACAACTGGATATACAAATACAAGAAGCATAACTTCATAACTTCCAAAAAGTATTTTTTTTCTTTTTTTTTTTAAGTTCCCTAAATAACAAATCATAACATATATCAAAAGTGTAAATTATGGCCACCCCTTTAGGGTAAAAATCCTTATTGTTTGGGTAATTACAACCACTCATCAACTATGAATCTTCTTACACGTCCATCTTTATGGTGTCAAGTTCAACATAATCTTCTAGCTTTCGTGGAATGTTGTCTAGTTGGTATTCGTTTTGTGCAAAAAAAAAAAAAAAAAAAAAAAAAACCAGTTTATGATGTACCACAATCTGATATTTACAAGCCAAGAGACACACATCTTATAATCATTTTGTTTCAAAATGTGGAACTCTAATGGGGTAAAACAAACTGGAGAATATTCCACATAATTTAGAAGATTCTTACTAAATTTGACACCGCAAGGGTGGACGTGTAACAATATTCATAATTAGAGGGTGATTGTAATAACCCAGTCATGAGGGGTTTTTCGTAATTTAATCTTATCTCAAGGGGTGACCGTGATTCACCCAATTTATCAATAAATTGAACCGGTTTCTCACTTGACTAAATATTGAATACCGACAAATTATATGACTTACTGATCCGTCGGACACGTTGAAGTAGCGTGCACAATTAGGACAATCACATGGTAACCAGAATAGGTCACTGCTGGTGTCAAGTGCCACAAGAAATTTAAGAGAAGGGGTACCCACACTAACAATTGAATACTGCAAGCTGCAATATATGCATAACAAAATAATCAACCAACAAGCAAACACTAATTCGAACAAAGACAGAAATAGGAAATAACTTACAATCCAAGACTCCATAGGTTGTAAGTCCGGTTGTTACCAAAGAAAGTGAGGATGGCTGTGGAGGCGGCAAGGCGGCGGCCCTTGAAGAGATGATCACGGTGGGCCATGGCGGTGTAGTAGTCAACCGTACCCTTCTCCGGCAACCCATCCGTGTTCAAGAATTCTTTAACAGTGTCGGAATATCTGTGGTGGATATCGAATCCGAACGTGCCAAATGCTTCGATGCTCTTCGCATTAAACCAACACGAAAACGCTATTAGCAACAAGCAACTCCCAACTAATGAATTCCTAAAACAAATCATCATTAATTAATACTTTATAACAAGAGAATTTTAGTGTATCCCCTCTGCTATTTCCAAAGCAGCAAGCACAGAGATGGGTGAGTGGTGATGAGAATGAAAATTGTTGAAGATAATGCAATCACATACATTATAAGAAAGAGAAATTAGTACAGAGTTGAAACCTGTGTCGACTTGATCAATTCAAATACAACTGGAGAGAGAGAGAGAGAGAGAGAGAGAGAGAGAGAGAGAGAGAGAGAGAGAGAGAGAGAGAGAGAGAGAGAGAGAGAGAGAGAGAGAGAGAGAGAGAGAGAGAGAGAAACAGCAAATTCCATGCGTACATCCATTGTTTAATCTGTTTGTTGTACAAAGTCTACATATTGCTAATCTAGCAATTATTCTTCCTAAGGGTTAACGAGCTTCGCACTCTCTATCCTTACATTTTTCCACGTCAAACCCAACTGTAATATGGGGAGTGTTAGTCAAACCAAACTGTTATATTAATAATATAGTTATTGTTTATTGTTGGGAATTTAACTATTAAAGTAAAATATAATTGGGATTATTTGCCAAAACCCCCTCATTACATAAGTGTAGTTACAATGAACTCAAATTTATTTCTTATTTATGGGGAAATTAATATAATTTTAAAATCGATGCAGTTGTTAAGTAAAATCTGTGTTTTCATATATGTAAGATAAATATTTATTTATTTTTTTGGAAAAAAAGAAAAAAGAAAAAAAGTTGGAAAAAGAGAATCAACTATTTGAGTTGAAAAAAAGAAAACAGTCTATTACTTGGAAAAATAAAAAAAAGTAGTAATAGACTATTTGTGTTAACTGTTACTAGACTGTTTTTGAAATTGTTAAGTAGTTGTTTCGCAATTAGCGAAAATAAAAATAGTTCAATCTTACATTTGTACTTTTCTTAGTATATTATGGAACAAATGACTTTGAAAAAAAAAACGTGCAATTCGTGTTTGAGTATACTGCAGACATACTATTTTGTAAGCAATTCCTTGTTAACTATGTAATTGTAGATTATATGGCTATATTGTAGATGTTTGTTTAAATAGTTCATTAAGATTGTTATTAATTTGTTATTCTTGATGGAATTTGTGGGCATTTGTATGTAGTACTTGCTCGGTCAAAAAAATCGCATACCATTGTGATTCCAAATAGTCTATTTGCTTGGGTGTCTTGAATGTTCTGGAATTATTATTAAACTGTTTTTGTTAACTGTTAATAGACTATTTAGGTGATAGTGCAGTAGTTTGTACATAGACAATCTGTAAATAGACTATTATGCCTAGATATAAATTGACTATTTTTCAAATAGACCTTTTTTTGAAAATAGGTCAATCTCCATGCCATTGTGATTGGAAATATTCCCATGCAATCAACCATTATGAGTACATCGAGCCTCGAAATAGTAGATCTCAGTACAAAATGTAAGATTTTGGAAGACAAACAAGAGGAACTGCTCAAAATAATTGAGGAGCAAGCAATGCAAATCAAATCGCTCACAAATGGTGATTGTGAGGACCAACCAATCACACTTGGGGCAGAAGATGAAGACTTCGACCTCACAATTTCCGTAATAAACTATGTTGAGAATGCAGAACCAACTTCTGTTGTGGCAAGGAGGACTCGATCAAAGAGGAAAGACGTCACGCCATTTGGAAAAAATCAACTGATTGACGTAGGGAAAAATTACAAGAAATTCAAACCGTATAATGTTTTAGTTGGTATTTTATAATTACTGACACGGCCCCCATGCGTATTATACGCGTATTTAGGCGTTTCGTGTCGGAAACGTGTCCGACACATGGACACTTCTCAGACCAGGTGTATCTGTGTAACAGAGCTGTCGGTAGCTTTTTCAAGCAAAAAGTGAATTACGGTTCAAAGTGTCAAAAAATTTATGTGTGAAGGGTGCAATTTACCAATTATGCAGTGTAAGGGTGTAAAGTGCAAAATGCATTTAGTTAAGGGTGCAAAATGCCAAAAACACAAAAAATAATGTGATCACTTTCAGTGATTCAGACTAGATTAGGATGAATTAATGAGGATGGCTGTTAGCTGTTACTAAGCGTGCTATTAATTAATTTTTTTGCCAAATTGTGTTACTAGATAATAGATATAGTGTGCAGCTCTAGACCCTTTTTTTTTAATGTGAAAGTTATTTATTGTCTGAATGAGTATACATTTTTAGTTTGTTTATGTATATTATGAAATTTTTTGTTTATATAAGCACAATAGCATTCTCAATCTTCATTCACAACAAATAATACAAAGAGATATGTATCTATTCTTGAAAAAAAAAATGGAAGCTCGTGTGCAAGTAATCTCTAGAGAGATGATCAAACCCTCACGTAAAACTCCACATCACCTGAAAAATATGAGACTTTCGTACTTGGATCAATCAACACCGGCTATATATTTCCCAATCCTCTTCTTCTATCGAGCCGACGAATCAAAAGGCTTAACTACCTCGAATCATGTCCGAATATCTCAACGTATGAAACGGTCCATTTGCGACACTCTAACTTCTTTCTACCCGTTAGCGGGAAGGATCCAAGATAATTTCGTCGTAAATTGCAACAACGCCGGGGTCGTTTTCGTCCATGCTCGATCGGGAGCTCGAATAGTGGATGTCGTACACGAGTCCAACATGGAGGAGAAACACTTGAAGCAATATATTCCGTGTAGTGATCGGTATCATAGTACTTGTATATCCAATCGACCCCTTTTCCTCGTACAAGTCACTTGTTTCGATTGTGGAGGAATTGCGGTCGGAGTTTCTTTTCTGCATAAAATTGCTGACTTGGCGTCTGTGATGGCGTTTATGGGTGCATGGGCCGGTGCATGCAGAGGCGAAGGCGGTGATGAAGTTTCTCGAGTTAGTTTCAATCTTGCCGACTTTTTCCCTGCAAAGGACAGTTTGGGCTCTAACGACTCGAGATTTCCCGAGTCGGACGAGAATTTCGTGACAAAAAGGTATGTGTACGATAAGGAGAAACTAGTAGTTAGATATAATTTTTTTAAAATTTCAAAATTTGGATTTTTTTTGGGATTATTTATTAAGTAGGGTAAATTACAACCACCCCTGAGGTATTCAAATTACAAAAACCCCCTTCCGTTTGGGTATAAATCTGCTTACAAGTCCACCCTTGCGGTTTCAAATTTAGTGGAATCTTCAAGATTATATGGAATATTAACACTTTTGTACCCGTTTTATCCCATTCGAACTCCACATTTTGAAGCAAAATGATCATAATATGAGTTTTTTGGCTTGTATATATCAGATTATGGTGCATCAGAAACTGTATTTTACACAAAACGCGTACAAACTAGAGCACATTTCACGAAATCTAGATGATTATATTGAATTTGACACCATAAAGGTGGATGTGCAAGAAAAATCATAATTGAGAAGTAGATGTAATTCCAAACAAGAGGATTTTTTTTATAAATTGATCATACCTTAAGGGGTGATTGTAACTTGTAATTTACCCAATTAAGTAAGACCATGAAACAATTGTTTTATTGTCTGTGTTTAACGGGTTGCAGATAATTTTATCATCAAAATTATAGTCTCCTTAAGTAATAGATGTTGAATGGATGAGTTTATTTGCGAAAGAGAAAAATTGATTTTTTTTTAATTAAGTCCTTGTATCAGGAACATCCACGTCATTAACCAATAATTAATTCGAAAAAAACAAAACACCTTTGTCCCTAATGTTTATGACAAAAATACTTTTGGTCCCTTGATTTATCGGTTTATCACACATTTGGTCCCCTCTGTTCATGAGTTTTGATAGTTAACTAAGCATGGCATGTGCTCACGTCCAATTAGAGCAAAACCATGGAGAGAGCAAACCTATTTTGTTTTGAATCATAGGGACAAAAAATATTTTAGTCGTAAATATGAGGGATGAAAAGTGTAATTTTCCGTCCTTAATTTCTGGTTCAGATTTTGTTAACTAAGGTATTTTTTTGGAACAACAGGGACACAAAAAGTTTTAGTCGTAAATTCGAGTGACCAAAATTGTATTTCCCGGTCCTTGCTCCAGATACTATTAATTACTAATATCGCATTTACATGGGACCAAATGTATCATAAAGTTATAAATCGAAGGAGCAAAAGTATTTTTTCTGCAACAGGAGGGACAAAAAATATTTTAGTCATAAATATGAAGGACCAAAAGTGTATTTTTCTCATTAATTTGGATTCGAAACATCCAAAAAATGTCCCAAAACACGGAAATTAAAATTTCAAAAACTGGATTGAAAATAAATACTTCTTACAAAAAACATTATTTCAGAATCGGCCGGTCCGTATCTGACGAGAATAATAATAATCATGATTAAAAAAATTAAAGGTTCGTGTTCGATAAGGAAAAGTTGAGAGCTCTTAAAGAAGCCGCTATAAACCCATCCGGGTCAACCACGGTCAAGAACCCTACTCGAATCGAGCTCGTCTCATCTTTCATATGGAAACATTTAATAGACTTCTCCAAACATAAAAACGGCGCGAAAAGACGCATCGTTGTCGGTGCATCGCATGCGGCCAATCTAAGGCCAAGAAAGAATATTCTCGAGAATATGTTCGGCAACTGCATCATTATATCATCCGCATTCACCGATAGTGCTAACGCGAACGAGCTTCAAGAACTCGTGGGCAAATTGAGAAGGTGTATAAGGAAAATCAACGATGATTACATTACGGAATCTCAAAGTGGAGATAGAGCTTTGAATGATCTTCAAGAATTGGTTACACAATTAATTACTAGTACAAAAGTGGAAGAAGAAGAAGAAGACGAACAAGGGTTATTATTAGAGTGGTGTTGTTTTACGAGTTGGTGTAGGTTTCCTTTGTACGAGGTTGATTATGGTTGGGGGCGCCCCCTTTGGGTGTGCACTACGGCTTTGCCATTGAAGAATCTCATAGTGCTTATGAACACCAAATCTCGAGAGGGAATTGAAGCTTGGGCCAACCTCAACAAAGACAACCTTAATTTGCTCGAAACCAAAATCCAGCTCATTTCAATTACCAATATTAATTAATTAGTGCCACTTGTATTTATTTGGTTATCTTTCAGAAAGGCCCTGGTTGTAATAAAATAAAATTTGTCGAAATATTCGCTTAATCAACATATTTTTTTTAGATTTACTTTTTATTTCAACTTATGCAAGTAGTTAGTTTTCGAAACATATTTCAACGAACAATATAAAATAGGGATAATTAGTGAAAACCCCCCAATTCATTTACTTATATTAAGGTGGATATAACCTCATTTTCATTATTAGTGAAAACCCCCCACCTTATATAAAATATTTTTTTTTTAATTAATATTGTTTTTGACATTACTAATATACCTAATTTGCCCTATTATATCTAAAATAACCAAACCTATTTCACGTTCTCTCTATTTTCTTATTCTTCTCTCTCTTTTCTCTCTACATATCGGCGCCTCCAACTCTCTTCCATCTGTGTTCTGCCACCGCCTCCAACCCTCTTCCGTCTTTGCGCCGCCATCGTTACTCTCTTCTCCCAACGGCGTTTCTCCCTCCACCAACGCGAAAAGAAGACGATCTTCACCCCTGGGATTCTCTCGTCAAGGACGGCGTTAGGGTTTTCGCTAGGGAGAAAGACGAGATTATGCAGCGGCGCTAGGGTTGATATTGCGTCTGAGATTTCAATACAGACCACCGCCACATTGTTTCATTGTTGTTGTTCTTCTTCTTCGTCTCTGATTTTTTGGAACCCAATTCTCGAATCTTAATTTTCTTAATTGGAGTTTTTGGTTGAATTCTTATATAAAAGACTAATTTTGTGTTCAATCAATAGTATAATGGATGTTTGTTTTTGTTGAAATTGTGTGGTGTTATTTACAGATTTATAGATATTTTCGTACATTAATATAGTTGTTTTCGTACAACAATATAGTTGTTTTCGTACAGCAATATAGTTGTTTTCGTACAGCAATATAGTTGTTTTCGTGCAGCAATATAGTTGTTTTCGTACAGCAATATAGTTGTTTTCGTGCAGCAATATAGTTGTTTTTATTACTTTTTAGTTGAATGTAATAGTTGATTTAACAAATAGTTGATTTTGATAAATGAGAGTTGCTGGAGATATATAGTTGTTTTAATCATATTGTTTTAATAACAGTTGTTTTAATAATAGTTGTTTTATTGAAATATAGTTGTTTTAACTGAAGACAAAAAAATATAGTAAAAAAATATAATAAAAAAGTTAAAAAAATAATTTTTTTTAAAATATATTTTTTTAAAATAAGAAATAAATAAAAAAAACGAAAATTAAAATTAAAATACAAAAAAATAAAAAAATAAAAGTGTATCAAAGTTGTATAATAGGTAGTAAATAGAGGAAGGGTAAATTTGAGAATAAAAAAAGGATAGGTCTCTCACTAATAAAGGAAAATGAGTTAGATCTATTCTCATTAAAATAAAGCTAGAGGAGGTTCTCACTAATAGTCCCTATAAAATAAGGGGAAATATGAGATAATCCCCTAATTTTGAAAATATATAAGGGCAGACCCAATGTTTTTTTTTTTTTTTTTTTTATCATAGCCAGAAACCCAAATTCTAAACTTCACTGGGTAGACCCCCTGAGGTCAAGTGCTGGGTAGACCCCCTGAGGTCAAGTGATATGAGTATTTTACCCTTATTATTCTGTTCTATTGAACAAAGCCAATGAAAGTCACGATCATTCTTTAACGGTTTACAAGGAACCAGTCTTCTTTCTCTCGCCCCCCCTCTCTCTCTCTCTCTCTCTCTCTCTCTCTCTCTCTCTCTCTCTCTCTCTCTCTCTCTCTCTCTCTCTCTCTCTCTCTCTCTCTCTCTCTCAATTATCAGTTTGTATGAGTTATATACGATTGGATAGGGTTTTCGATTTGGATGATTTAGCTTGATCTGCGACGGTCGAGGTTTAGTTTTACAGAGCATTTTAAGGTTCGTTTTTTATTTTTTACGGAGATTTCATGGCTCGTTTTTTTGTTTTTGATCAGATGTGTCTGGGTGTGTGTTAAATTTATAAATGTGATTTGCGTTTTCATGTGTTTTTGTACAGTTTGGGATATTATTTGTCAATTTTATTTGTGTTGATGCATTTTGATCTTATTTAATTTTGATTTTTTCAGAGTTTTTAATGTGTTTGAAATTGTCATTTTGATTTGTATTGAGGTATATCAGAGTAGTTAAATATATGTTACAGTAATCATATACAATATGTAACATATTTGTAAATGTATTTATTATGTTCACCTTTTGTTACAATTGCAGAATGTCTACAAATATTGTACTAATAATGAGGTTTGGAGAATTATTAATTTGGTGTGAGAAATTGTGTTACTTCTCTTGAATTTATAGAGTTGGTTGGATTCGTAAAGGCCAAATGGGGCACATTGCACCGGAACACCATATCTCTCACGTACACAATTGTTGGTTATGGAAAAGGTGTGTTTGTGTGACGATGATGATGATGCGTTTTACATGCTGTCGTTAACGCTTGTATTTATTTGGTTATCTTTCATAAAGGCTCTGGTTGTAATAAAATAAAATTTGTCCAAATATTCGGTTAATGAACATAAATTTTTATTTTAATTTACTTTTTATTTCAACTTATGCAAGTCGTTAGTTTTCAAAAACATATTTCATCGAACAATATAAAATAAACATCATATTAAAATAAAAGTTACGATCTTACCAATCAACAGCCCGATCGAAGACTCTACACAGCCTTGGAGGAAGATGAAATACAACAACATTTTGCATTTACGAAATACAAATGGAGAAAAATACTCGTCCGAAATCATTTCCATCGATATGCAGGATACCCTCTCATAATTATTTTTTAATTATAAATAAAACATAGGGGATGACTAAAACAAATACCGTTTCTTTCTCACTTCAATACCACCAATAGAAAAAATAGAAAATAAATAAGTAATGACATTAATACCCTTAATAAAATCACACCACACAAATTTTGTGTGTGGTATTGATTTTCATTAATGGTAATAATGTCATTACTTATTTATTATCAATTTGTTATTCATTTTTTATGTCGGTGGTATTGAAGTGAGAAAAAAAGGCATTTGTTTTAGCCGCTCCCTAAAACATAAGTTGATACAAGCTGATGTGGCCAATCTGGCCAAACAAGATTATTTGGGCATTTACGTATATCTATGGGTCGTATATGTGTTTATTTTGAGATATTTAATGGGCTAAAATAGCAATACCTTTTTTTGCGAGAATGATCCTAAAATGAGTATATACGCGTGAATATATAATGGAAAATTAACTATTATATGATTTAATCAAACCGAACTCAATTGATATGAATTCTCTCTCTTTTTTGAAGAACAAGGAAATAAGTCTGTATTTTGAATTATGAGAAAATGGCGACCCCCATTTTGACCTAAACAGACCATATATACTACTAGCAATTGGGCTTTATCTAACCACGTGGCGCACTTTCTGGGTCCAAATCGCTGCCCAATTACTACATACTCTGCCACGTTGAAGGTTATCATTGGTCCTTCTTTATGTTACCTGCCAGTACTAGAGTACAACACGTCCTTTTCTTATCAGTCGTGTCCCTTTTATTTTTGACTTTTTGGAGAGGAAGGTACACTTTTCTATCGAGATATAGAGTTATCTCACCAGCTGGGCGACATGACTCTTGTTGTCCTTGCGACATGACTCTCAAATTCTCAGATTACGTGAGGTTTCCCTCCTAAATTGCCTTAATCATCATCTCTAGCTCACCATAGAGATAACCACAATTGGCCTTTTTGAGCTTTGGGTTCGAGGGCTTTAGATAACCTTCCATGTATAGATGAAGCAGTATAGTATGTGGGTGACGTTGATGAAGTTGGTGACTTTAATGATGTATCTGAGTCTGATGTGCCTGAATTTGAGGTTATTGGCAACAATATGTCTTTGAATCATGTTACTAACATTTTTGGTGATAGTGATGGTCTGTTTGATGATACTGAAAGTCATGACTTTTTAGTTGATAGTGAGTTTTTTGCATATGATGATGATTTCAATATGATAACAATGTTGATCATGCGGTAGAGTGGGGTGGACTTAGATCAAATGAAGAGATTGAAGAACATAGAAAACCTAGAAGATTAAACAAGGGGAAAGAGAAAGTGGCCGGTTGAGGATTGGGTTGAGGAAACTGCCAAGAAAGATCAATGAAAACACCACAACTTTCCAGTTTTTAATCCAACGGCAGACATTGTTGATCCTAAGTTTCAGCTTGGTGTTTGCTTCAATGATGCACAAAGTTTTAGAGATGCCATAAGACAACACTCCATAGTTAATGGTAGGGACATAAAACTGAGGCTTAATGAGAAGTATAAGATTCAAGCCATATGCAAACATCCAAGTTGTCCATGGCTAGTCTATGCTTCTCAAATGAGAGGTGAATCCACCTTTCAAATCAAGACAATCAATGCAGTCCATGAATGTAACATAAAAGAGAGGGTGGCTTGTGCAATTTTCTGGTGGTTGGCCACTAAATATGCAGATAAAATAGTTACTGATCCAAGATGGTCGTTGGACTCTATGATGATTGTGGTCTAAAAGCACTGCAAATTTTTATTTAGTAGACACCAACTGTACAGAGCAAAGTAAAAGGCAATAATCGAATTACATAAATTTTAAAAATATTTAAAAGGAGAAGGGTGACTGTTGTAATTACTCTAACAAGAGGGAATTTTTCGTAATTTAGTCATACCTCAGGTGGCTGACTGTAATTTTCCCTAATAAATATTAGTCTGGAAAACTCTTTCAAGAGTAAACTTTGATATTAAACAATCATCTAGATCATTTTTCTTCATCACGTTTCAATAACATAATTCATATTTTTTTTTCTTCATTATTCATTAAGCTTTTACCCTTAAATGGACCAAGTTCTACCATTTCAATGTCCATGGCGTCTCTAGTAGGCACGTGACATCACTCAACATCTGGAAAACCACCATTCCATCTCAGGCTATAAATGTTTGTTGTAGAGAGAGAAAGGATAACATACAAATTCATGTTGCTAATGCAACTCCATGTGTAAGAGTTATCACTGTTTCGAAGGAGTACCCAATATGTTTCAGCTTTAATTTTCGATCGGTTTGAGTTTCAGAATTTGTTTATGATTAGGTTTTCCTCCATTTAATTGATGTATAAGGTGGTCTCTCAAATTATCCATCCATAATTGCTAACAATGAAGAAAATAAGTGTAAGAGTCGAAAAAGAAAGACTAAAAAAATTCATTCTTAACAAAACACAAACACGATCACTGTTAATTCATCATAAACAAAGTACGGATTTTTTTAAGTATTTCATTATCAAATAAAACTAGATTTCATGTACACTGTGTTAGCAAAAATTAACAATATAACAAGATTATACATTTCATCAATTTAATAACATTATTTTGGTAAAATAAAGTAAGCACGATACATAACTAAAATACATAGAAATTTTGATACGACAAGTGCACGCACGTGCACCTGGAAAGTAAAGATAAAGGCTTAAGTTTATACCTATAGATCAATCTACAGTATACAAAATAACAACGACGACAACAACAACAACAACAACAACAATAACAACAACAACGACAACAACAACAACAACAACAACAACAAAGTGAAGGACCGAACTGAAACACAACTTCAAATTCGAAGACAAATTGATACAAAACGGAAGCACGGTAAAGAATTAATTTCTACGAATTAATTATATAGAACATGATAACTCTGGAATCCACCAGATAATTGAGAGAAAACTCAGAAATTTTATTAATCATGAAAAGATGCTGAAAAATAAACCCTGGAGCAACTATTTATACTAAAGAAAACGAAAAACCTAATCAAACAAGCAAAACGACAAAATTACCAAAAAAAGGGAAAAAAACGAAATAACTCCTAAACCTAATAGAATACCGAAAGTTGGAAACAACCCAACTTGCGGAATTCAAATCCGATTTTTCAAGAATTAATTATGAATTATATAAAAGTTTCCTAAAAATAGCAAAAACGTCGTTTTGAAGGCCTAAACGACCTCGAAACGCCAAAATCCATCGGACGTCACGGCGTAGCGGTGGATTTGACTCACCTCGTCGGTCCGGTTCGGAAAAATTTGGCCCCACCCAATTCTGACTCCGCCACCTCTGCATCAATCCCCTCTTCTTCGAAAGAGCTCGACCTCGAGCTTGTATCGGGATAAAGTGGGGTATTCTCCTGATACTCGTACAAGTCCGAAACGTTGAAAGTCTTCGAAATACCCATGTTAGCCGGGAGGTCGACTACGTAAGCATTATCACTAATTTTCTGAAGGACTTTGAACGGTTCATACTTCTTTGGCTTGAGCTTGCTAAACGTTCCCACCGGGAATCGCTCCTTTCGAAGGAATACCATGACATCGTCCCCCTCAAGAAAAGTTTTTAGCCTGCGATGCTCGTCCGCGGTAGCTTTATACTTGGCATTCTTTTGCTCGAGCCTCTCCTTAACCTCCGCTTGCACGTCTTGTACTTCATTAGCCAGCCGATCAGCCACTTTATCGGTGCTCTTGAGGGAGGCGTATCAAATCCACTGCATGTTTCGGAGTTGCTCCATAAACCAACGCGAAAGGAGACATTCCAGTGGCGCTATGCACAACGCTATTGTAGGCAAACTCCGCTTGTGGTAAAGCATGATCCCATTGCCTCGGGCGATCGCCGCAAATACATCGTATCAAATTTCCCTAAGTCCGATTAGTTACCTCTGTTTGCCCATCAGTTTGCGGATGTGCTGTGGTACTTCGCTTGAGGGAGGTGTCAAACATCTTCCAAAGGACAAGCCAAAAATGGCTAAGGAACTTCACGTCTCGATCGGATGTGATTGTCTTCGGTACGCCGTGTAAACGGACTACTTCTCAAAAGAGCAGTCTCGCAATATGAGACGCATCAGAAGTCTTTCGGCACGGAATGAAGTGAGTCATCCTGGAAAACCTATCAACCACCACGAAAACCGAATCAACTCCCCGCTGGGTTCGCGGCAAGCCCAACACAAAATCCATCGACAGATGTTCCCAAATACCACTTGGGACCGGGAGAGGTGTATACAACCCCGTATTTTGAGACCGACCCTTCGAAACTTGGCAAACATAGCACTTTGCAACTGTCTTACCAACATCTCGTTTAGGTTGAGGCCAATAAAATCGCTCCTCGATGTTGCTCGTCGTCATGTCTCGTCCCAAATGACCGTTTAGCCCGCTCGCATGTAGATCCACAATTAACTTTTCGCGAAGAGAAGTCCTCGGAATGCACTGTTGGTTCCCTCTAAACATGAATCCTTAATTAATATAGTAATCCTCCATCGGCTGTCGCGCAACACACTTAGACCATATTTCTCTAAAATCTTCATCTCCCTCGTACAGCTCCTTCTCTAATCCGACCACTTCTTCACTAAGAATGGTAAATAATGCAGCTCACCGACTTAGGGCGTCCGCGATACGGTTCATGATCCCACTCCGATGCTTGATGACAAACGGAAACTTCTGCAGGAAATTCGTCCACCTCACATGCATGTTGTCAACACTTTTCTGACTATTCAGAAACTTCAAAGCTTGGTGGTCGGTGTATAGTACGAACTCTCGCTGTATCAAATAGTGTTCCCACTTTTTCAAAGCTCGAACTACCGCATAAAATTATTGGTCGTAAGTGCTCCACTTCATTTGTGTGTCACTCAATTTCTCGCTGAAGAAAGCCACGGGAAGCCTTTCCTGGGACAAAACAGCTCCAACGCCTACTCCTCTGGCGTCACATTCTACTTCAAACACCTTCTCGAAACTAGGCAAGGCTGAGACAGGTGCATTACTTAATTTCTCCTTGATTACTGCAAAACTCTGATCCGCTTCGTCACCCTACATAAACTTTCCCTTTTTCATACATTCAGTAATTGGTGCCATGATGGTGCTGAAATTCTGAATGAACCGTCTATAGAATGTCGCCAACCCATGGAAACTCCTGACTTCCGAAACATTCTTAGGCATGGGCCACTCACGAATTTCCCGAACCTTTTCATCATCAACATGTATTCCTTCCGCCCCAACTATAAATCCCAAGAACAGTAATCAACTAGCCATGAAAGTACACTTCTTCAAATTGATAAATAGCTGATTATCCCTCAAAATAGTTAACACCTCACGCAGGGTCCCATATGCTCGTCTTCGTGTTTGCTATAAATCAGGATATCATCAAAATACACATCGATAAATTTTCCAGAAAAGGGTCGTAACACCTGATTCATCACGCGCATTAAAGTGCTAGGCGCGTTCCACAACCCAAACGGCATCACCAACCATTCGTATAAGCCATCTTTTGTCTTGAACGCTGTCTTCGACTCGTCCCCCGGTCTAATCCGAATATGATGATACCCACTTCAAAGATTAATTTTTGAAAACAGCTTCGCACCTTCCAGCATAGCCAACATATCATCAAGCGGCGGAATGGGAAACCGAAACTTTATGGTAATCCGGTTTATTGCTCTACTAACGACACACATCCTCCAGCTGCCGTCTTTCTTCTTCACTAGTAGCACATGCACCGCACACGGGCTCATACTCTCTCTGATAAACCCCTTTTTCAGCAGCTCCTCCACCTTCTCTTGCAAAACCTCACATTCTTGCGGATTCATCCGATAATGCGGCAGATTTGGTAGGCTAGCACCGGACACTAAATCAATGTGGGGCTGAACGTCTCTCATAGGCGGCAGCGAATCCGGTAGGTCATTGGACCCCAACTCATCAAACTCTGTAAGTAACGGTTGCACACTCTTAGGAATTTCGACGGTTTGTTTATGAACCTCCTCTTCCTTTTGAATTCCCAAAGACCTCATCATCGTCACGTATACTCCGGCTGCTGATTCGACATCTTTTATGAATTCGCTCTCAGATTGGGAGACCACAAAAACTGGTTCTTTTTCCACTATTCTGGCAAGCTTGACCGTCGACTCCGATCGGGGTAACATCACAATCTTGCGCCAACCCCATTCAAATATACATGAGTTTTTTTCTCCCATTATAGGTCATATTAATGTCGAATTGCCAAGGCCAACCGAGTAGTATGTGGCTAGCATCCATGCCTATCACGTCGCATGTCACCTCATTGGCATAGTTCATTCCAAATGAGATAGGCACACGACACACTTCTGTCACTTTAAACGTTGGCCCTCTCTGAACCCACCCAATAGTGTAGGGAACTGGGTGTTTTATCAGTAACTTCAAATAATCTACCAATCTTCTCGCAACAAAATTTTCGCAACTACCATTGTCAATTATCAGATCGCACACCTTCTTATTAACTGAGCACTGAGAACGAAATATGCTATTTCGTTGGTTTTGCTGCATCGCCGTACAAAGAACTCGTTGCACTACACAGTTAACTTGCTCTCCATTCTCCTGACTATGATATTCTGCCGTATCCTCTTCTTCTTGAAAAATGTCTTCATCATAACCTTCCTGATCACTCTCGCCTCTCTGCTCCGACCCACCTACTATGTTCACGGGTCTTCTCTCAGGGCACTCGTTGGAACGGTGCCCAGGTTTGTGACACCTAACACAGTTTCCAGGGACTGGTCTCGCATAAGGATTGTTTGTTCGCGGCTGAACGGGCGTGCTCGAACTAGCGGCACCGGCTCTCGTCTGGATCTGTAGTGCTTATGTTGGCGGGGCAACAAGATTAGGGTTTTGGGATACGAAATTTCCCCTATCAACCGGTGGTGGTGCTTAATTTGGCGGTCTATGATAATTATTCACGTTGTTCCGTCGCTCAAATTCTTCTGCTCGCAATGCCATACTCTGCGCATCCTGAATGGTATAAACTGGCTTCAATTTAAACGTATTCGGTCACGGATATTAGCTTTCAACCCGTTCAAATACCTGGCCACTTGCTGGTTCTCCAAATCCCTTAAATTATTTCGATCTGCCAGTTTCAGGAATTCCGTGGTGTATTCGTGTATAGACCTACTACCGTGCGAACAATTATGGTATAAATTGTATAAGTGTAGTTCATAGTCGGCCGGTAGGAATCGATCGTGAAGAAGCCCATTCATCCTCCTCCAAGACTGCACTAGGCCCTTCCCTTGTCGAGCCCGTGATCGTTGCAACTGGTCCCACCATACAGCCGCACCACTTTTCAACTTGTACGCAACCATCTTGACCATCCTCTCGGGTGGGGTGTTGATCACATCAAAAGCACTCTCCACTTCGACCACCCAATCCAGAAAATCCTCTATGGAGAGGTTTCCATGGACAGGTGGAATCTCTGCCCTTTTCGGATAATCGTCGTACTGCCTTTGTCCTTACCTAGGTTGATTTCCGTCGACTATTGCTTTGTCGTTCTCATCCAAGTTTTCGTCACTGTCCGGGTGAAGACATGGGTGGTCACGAATCTGATTCCTAACATGCACACGTCGGGCTAATTCCCCAGCGCGCGCTATATTAGATTCGCCCCTCCTGTTATTGCCATTGAAGGCAATTCCCTGTAGCAACTCCCGAAGTTGCCGCAGCTCACCTCGAATCTCTACTCGAAATTCCTCTATAGCCTGTCGAGATTCTTCTCGAGCGAGCTCGACTGCTGCCTGAATGTTATCAACCTCAAGGTCATCGCCATCGCGGTTGTCGTCTCCTTGTTTCGCACCTTTCGCCATCTAACCAGAAAAAACCTCGCTACTGATGCCAACTAACGCAGAACGGAAGCACGGCAAAGAATTAATTTCTACGAATTAATCATATAGAACACGATAACTCTGGAGTCCACCAAATAATTGAGAGAAAACTCAGAAATTTTATTAATAATGAAAAGATGCTGAAAAATAAACCCTAGAGCAACTATTTATACTAAAGAAAACAAAAAACCTAATCAAACTAGGAAAACGAGAAAATTACCAAAAAAAAGGTAAAAAAAACAAAATAACTCCTAAACCTAATTGAATACCGAAAGTTGGAAACAACCCAACTTGCGGAATTCAAATCCGATTTTTCTAGAATTAATTATGAGTTATTTAAAAGTTTCCTAAAATAGCAAAAACGTCGTTTTGAAGGCCTAAACGATCTCAAAACGTCAAAATCCATCGCACGTCACGGCGTAGTGGTGGGTTTGACTACCCTCATCGTTCCGATTCGAAAAAACTTGGCCCCACCCAATTCCGACTCTGCCACCTCTGCATCACAAATTTTTGAAATTTCAATGTAATATTGTTTTTTCTAGCCATAGAATAGTGTCAAGTGTAACAACAAACTGTGGCAAAACAACCGAACAAAGCATGCAATATTATATTGCATACATGTGTTATAGGAAACTTGAAGAGAAATCCACAATGCTCAACTAACATACATCCCTAATTAAAAAATAAATAAATAATAAAGTGTGTTACATAAATTATTGAATTTGATCCCATGTAAACTATGGATAGATTAATGTTCCAAGTTTCTCCTATGGTAAAAGAGAACCTCATGAACAAAGAATGATGAAGTGGTGGAAGAAAATGGCAATTATCACAACCACATATCCGCCAGTCATGGAACTCGAACGGGCGGCACCGTTCGGTGGTGGTGGGCGTGAACGAGAGGAGTTTCCATTGTTCGGGGATGATATGGCATCAAAACCTAAGACATTTAGTTTTGAAAGAGCCTATTAATGATTTATATGCATCAAATAAAGAATTTAATCTCATAAAATAATACAAATTATAATTACAATAATGTTTAATCAATCAATCAATCTCTCTCTCTCTCTCTCACACGCACACATGCGTGCACACACACGGACACAAACACGCACAGAGACTGTCCCAATATGTGTGTGGCTACACGAATACAGAACGCCTTTTAGTTAATGTAGAACATATTTTTTTTTTTTTTAATCCTTATTTGAGAATGTATTTTAGTAGCTATATATATTTTTTAATATAAAAATTAATTCTCATCAAATATTTATCATTAACTGTCTATAGAACTATATTTATTATCTACAATTTTCAGTATCAACACATCTGAAAAAACTCTTTAAATTCGTTTATACTACAAAATATTTTGTTCGATGAAAAATATTTACTATAATCGACTTCCTTTAACGTCTCGAGATGATCCTGGTCCAAAGTAGTAACAAAATTAATATATATTATAAAATCTGGCACATAAAATAGAAAACGGGAAATTTGGCACAGAAAACAGGAAAAAAAATTTTGCACCGAAATGAATATTTTTACCTCATTTTCAGCCTTATCATCCTCCAAAACCAATAAATTCATGTTCTTGGTGATTAATGATGATTAATTGTGTGATATTCTTCCAAAATAATGTTAATGGAGACTTATAAAAAAGAGTTTGAAAAAATAAGAACAGATATATTAGGTTTTGATTTTTTTTAAATGTCATATATTTACTAATACACATCCTGCATTTATCACCACCCATACCTGAAATAGCTCAGAAACCAAATCATAAGAGAGAGAGAGTATATATGCATACTAGAATTGCAAAGAATATTGAAAACCATAAAGAGATTAAAACCAACTCACAATCTGATTCTTTCCAACCGAAAACCATCTCCTCACGGTCAAAGACTAAGCGGTAACCTTCCATAAAATTATCTGGGAACAAATCGAAAGTGTTAATATAGAAGGGTCAATGAGATGCTACACCTGGTCAAAAGCACGGGGTAATTTTGCACCGTCCATCTATACAAATACACCCACTAAAACCCACATACACATGGGTGTGTGTGTTTCTATATATACATAAATGGTGCGGAATCACCCAGTGTATTTCACCGGGTGTAGCATCTACAAAACCATATAGAAGTTAAACAAAAACTTCAGCATTAATATCAAATAAATCCAATAAAAGGAAACTTATGGTTCGAATACTCACGTCCAATGACGTTGTTAATCTTGGATTTGATAATACCCAAACAATATGCATTTCCACCCTCCTGCATATGAATATAAAATCTTAGCACTTCTTCCGATGGGATTTTCTCATACGTTAAATAAAAAAATTCTCACGTTAAGTCGAAACGCAATCGTTGGTGCAGTGACATTAAATTGGCTTCCACCTTTCATTGTCAGTGTCAAATTTGGAGTTGTATATGTTGACATCGAAATTGAGATTAAATTACAAAATAATGGCCTAAATAAATTGGTTATTAATTTGGATCTCGATTAATAGTCCATAATAAATATTGGGCTTGATACTGAAGTCCACAAAATTTGGGCTTCACAAATATATCATATGGGTTAACCCAGAATTGAGTACTAAATTCTCATTCTTGGGTTAGCTATTTGGGCCCACGAAATATGGCCCACAATAAATAAATTGCAAGTATACAAGTCCACGGGCCCAAGTTTCAAGTCAAGAAACCCTAAAACCGAGCCTATAAAAGTTGGTCTCAAACACATACAAGAGGACGGGTACACAAGCATCAAGCAAGTACACAAGCATCAAACAAGTACACAGGCATCAAGCAAGGCGTACATCAAGCACTCAAAAGCTCTCAAGTCTCGAGCTCTTGCCACGACGAAGAACAACAACCGCGGAGGTTCTACATCTTCATCAAGGCACCAAATCCACAAGACCTAGAAATCCCCAAATCGATTTCTAGATATTCATATCTACTTCCGCAAATCAACGGTGGAATCAAGCTCTCAATTCAAGAACAAGCTTCGGCCCTTGGATTAAATCTAGGAGAAGAATCAGAGGAATCAACAAAGATTGTAACCCATTTTCGTTTTGATTAAAATATAATTATTTGTTCCTATTTTTTCTTGTCTTGTAATTTATTTTGCAGACATTTAAATTTGAGGTTAACAAATTGGCACGCCCGGTGGGACCGACTTTGCCTCTCATCTCCTCTCCTACATCGAAGCGCATATCCACGTGTTCAACGATCCAATGGCTCCAAAGAAGAACCAAAACTCTTTGATTCAAAAGGCTACCGAGATTGTCACCGTTGTTGGTTTATCATCCACCGGGGGCAAGATCGATAATACAGCTACAGCAAATGGCTCAAGCTCCTCAGGCTCGGAAGAGATCGACTCCAAATCTCAAGCCTTCACCACATTGCCGGTTATGGTGGTTGATGCGACTTCCGTGGATGAGCAATTGGCGCACTTGGCCCAAACATTGGCTAATCTTCAAAAAAATGTCGAAGACAAAGACATGAATATCGCTCAATTAATGGACAAGTTGGAACAGTCGGAGGTTGGGGAGTTTAGCCCGAAGCACGAATCTTACCCGCTTCGCGACGAGAAAGCAAAGCGAGTGGAAGAAGCACAACCCAAGCCGGACTTCGTGCAAGGCGCCACTCATTCTTCGATGTCTGTTGCCACGCTATCTGTTCAACAATTGCAAGAGATGATTGCCAATACTATCAAAGCGCAATATGGCGGACCATCTCAAGTCTCACCCATGTACTCAAAGCCGTACACTAAGCGGATCGATGCATTGAGGATGCCAGTGGGATACCAACCCCCAAAACTCCAACAATTCGACGGAAAGGGGAACCCCAAGCAACATATTGCTCATTTCATCGAAACTTGCAACAATGCGGGGACTAACGGCGATCTCTTGGTGAAACAATTTGTAAGATCACTCAAGGGAAATGCTTTCGATTGGTATGTCGATTTGGAACCCGAGTCCATCAACAGTTGGGAAGAGATGGAACATGAATTCTTGAATCGCTTCTACAGCACACGTCGTACCGTGAGTATGATCGAGCTTACCAACGCGAAGCAGTGGAAAGATGAACCGGTTGTGGATTACATCAACCGTTGGCGTGCACTAAGCCTAAATTGCAAGGATAAGCTATCGGAAGTGTCGGCGACTGAGATGTGTATCCAAGGGATGCATTGGGGGCTCCTCTATATCTTACAGGGGATTAAGCCTCGAAATTTTGAAGAATTGGCTACGCGTGCCCATGATATGGAGTTGAGTATCGCGAACCATAAGAGTGCACTCCCGCTAGATGGTCAAAAAGGGGAAAGAAAGGATTTTAAGAGAAACGAAAAATTCTCTAAAACTTCTACCAAGGAGTCAATGGCCATAAAAGCAGTGGGTTTGAAAATTCCTTCGAAGAACGAAGATGACAAAACCGGTGAACATCGAATATCAAACGATAGACGTCGACCCACGTTGAAGGAAATACAAGAGAAAGAATACCCTTTTCCGGAATCGGACGTCTCCCATATCTTTGATGAGCTGTTGGCAAGGAAATTGATTGACTTGCCGGAACCAAAACGGCCCGAAGAAGTAGGAATGATGGATGACCCAAAGTATTGCAAGTACCATCGAGTTGTTGGTCATCCCATAGAAAAATGCTTCGTGGTCAAAGAGAAGATCATGAGACTCGCGAGAGATGGCAAAATAATACTAGATACTGAAGATGTTGCCAACTCGAATGTTATAAGTGTCACTCCACTCTCAAGCGACGCATGTCCCGCATGGAACACCCAAAAATGCCCGCCTGCACCTACGAAGTGTCTGCATTTCAATTTGGGAGTTTGGAACCACAATTGATAAAGACTTTATTTCACGAGGAAGAAGTCGTACACGATGAAAACCCCATTTCTGCTATTGAGGATGAGGGAGAATGGATTCTAGTGACACGTCGGCAGAGACAAAGGGGACGTATCGACAAACTTGATGTAATGCCATCACGAAACCCACAACCAATAAAATACATTCACCGTGCCAAATCGAACAAAGACTCAAAGGTGAGTGATGATGCTTCAAGAAAATCTTACGGAAGTTCGGTTCAAAAGCACGTGACTTTGAAAGAGTTCTTTCCGAAAGAGTTTTTCATGCAAAAAGTTGAAAGAGCATACGTTAATTCGGATGAGAGCGACCATCAACATTATATTCCTTGTTGTGCTGCTATGACTTTCACGGACGATGACTTGTTGTTGGGATCTAAACCTCACAATCGTCCGCTCTTTGTTTCGGGGTTCATACACGGGCAAAAAATTAACCGTATACTCGTAGATGGAGGGTCAGCTGTCAATATCTTACCAAAATCCACCATGAGACAGTTGGGGATTGCTACCGAAGATTTGTCTCGCAGTCGCCTTACTATTCAAGGATTTAACCAAGAAGGCCAAAGAGCTATTGGGATGGTTCGTTTAGACCTCACAATTGAAGAGCTAGCGGCAAGTACACTATTCCATGTGATTGATGAAAGAACCTCTTATCACTTGTTATTAGGATGGCCATGGCTTCACGAAAATGGAATTGTCCCATCTACCCTTCATCAATGCTTCAAATACCTGAGGAATGGAGAAATGATGAAGGTCGATGCTAATGCGAAGCCCTTTACCGAGGCAGAATCACACTTTGCGGATGCCAAATTGTATCTAGAGTCAAACCTAAAATGTGAAACGGTGATTTCAAAGGCACCGGTATGTCACCCTATTAATGGAAGTCATATGGAACTCGTACCGACAAAGATCGGTTGCACAAAGGACGAGAAGGTGGCCACTTCAGTTGAAGCTCCGATGAGCAAAAATGACGGGGCTGTGAGGAAATTGAGTTTGCCAGTGTTTCGTTGCGCTCCTCAGTCACGCCGAGGAAGCCAAATTTTGTTCAGTGAGTGCACCACATTATTAGAGGATGGACAAGAACGACCGCAGGAGCGAGAGCCAAGCCATTGCCACTTTATTAGGGAAAATTTAATCATGCCTATTATCGGCTTAAGTCCATTGGCGCATGAGGAGACGCGTTGTACCCCAGTCTCAATGGCCTAGGGAGGCGTATGATCCAAAATCATATAATTTATTAGCTAAGTCTGGTTACAACTTCTCTAATCCATCTCGGTTAGGCGAACTAAAACCTGAGTTGACGGGCGAAAAGATTCATGGGTTAAATGAAACACAAAGGACATTAAGAAAACAAGGTTTTCGCGTTAATCAACCCAGAGTCGGTTTGGGATTCACACCCATCGAGCCAGTTAGAATACGCGTTTCAAGGAAAGGAGAGTGCCCCAACGTCCATCATATCACCATAAAAGGTGTTGGAAATCAAAAGAAAACTAGCGGTCGCATTTCTGCTTTTGATCGAATTGGGGCTCCTACCACCCAATCTTCTGTCTTTGAAAGACTTGACACTCATGTTACGCGACCCTCGGTCTTTGAAAGGCTTGGTCCTTCTAATAATGTCTCGAGTGTTCACGATAGAATTTCTACAGATACTCGTTCAGTGTTCTCACGACTGGGAAATCACAATTGAAACCAACACGGAAAAAGAGTGCGAGAGGATGAGGTAGATGTGTTTGAATCAACGGGTGAAGCTCAAGCTCATCAAGTGCTTCAATCACGTCAAATGGACCAACCACTCTTAGTTATTGCCATGAATGGATCAGTGAAGGTGAAACAACGTGTTACCAGCCATCATGCCTCTAAAGAGAACGGAAATCGAAGCGAAGACGAAGTCGAAATTGTCGTCAACAGTCATTATGCAAGTATTGTTGATGATCAAGAAGAAGTTTCGGAAGATGAAATACAAGAGGCCCCTGTACAACTGGAGGATGGAGGGCAAGCTACCGTTGATGAGTTAAAGGAACTGAACCTAGGCACATTAGATGATCCCCGCCCAATATTCGTGAGTGCAATATTGAGTCCTGAAGAGGAGGGACAATATCTTGAGATATTAGGCGAATACAAAGATGTGTTTGCGTGGACATACAAAGAAATGCCCAGGCTGGATCCCAAAATCGCAATCCATCACCTTGGTATAAGAAATGGAGCGCGCCCCGTATAACAATCGCAACGTGTACTTCGTTCCGAGCTAATTCCTCGAATTGAAACCGAAATCAATAAGCTCATAGATGCTGGATTCATCAGGGAGGTCAAATATCCAACTTGGATCTCTAGCATTGTGCCAGTCAAGAAGAAGAATGGTCAAATACGCATTTGCGTTGATTTTCGGGACTTGAACAAGGTTTGTCCTGAGGATGATTTCCCTTACATATCATCGAGCTCATGGTTGATGCAACAACCGGACATGAAGCATTATCTTTTATGGATGGCTCTTCCGGCTACAATCAAATTAGAATGGCTCCGGAAGATGAAGAATACACGGCATTTCGCACGCCAAAGGGAATTTACTGCTACAAAGTAATGCCATTTGGACTAAAGAATGCAGGCGCTACCTACCAGCGTGCCATGCAAAACATCTTTGACGACATGTTGCACCAAAGAGTGGAGTGTTATGTCGATGACCTCGTCGTCAAAACAAAGAAGAGAGATGATCATTTGAGAGACCTTCGGATTGTATTCGAGCGCTAGAGGAAATACAACTTAAAGATTAATCCTCTTAAGTGTGCTTTCGGCGTCTCCTCTGACAAATTTCTTGGCTTCATAGTCCGTCATCGTGGTATAGAGGTTGACCCCTCTAAGATAGATGCCATTCAAAAGATGCCTGCGCCTAGAAATTTGAAAGGGTTGAGAAGTTTACAAGGAAATCTCGCATTCATAAGAAGGTTTATATCAAATCTCGCTGGAAGATGTCGACCATTCAATCATCTCATGAAGAAAGACACACCTTTCGAATGGGACGAAGGATGTCAAAACGCTTTCGAAACCATAAAAAAGTACTTATTAAATCCGCCCGTCTTAGGAGCTCCTATACCCGGAAAGCCACTCATATTATACATAGCAACTCAGGAAAGGTCCGTCGGTGCTCTTATGGCGCAAGAAAATGAAAACGGCAAAGAGTGTGCCTTGTACTACTTGAGTAGAACTCTAACGGAGAATGAATTGAGATACTCCCCGGTGGAGAAAATTTGCTTGGCACTATTCTATGCGATTAAGAAATTGAGGCATTACTTTGAAGCGTACTCCATACGACTCATTTCACGTGCCGATCCAGTCAAATTTTTGATGTCAAAGCCAGTGTTATCTAGAAGATTAGCAAAGTGGTCTATCATGTTCAATCAATACGAGATCACGTATGTGCCTCAAAAATCTGTTAAAGGGCAGGCACTAGCTAATTTTCTAGTCGACCACCCTATTCCGGCAGAGTGGGAGTTATCCGATGACCTTCCTGATGAAGATATTTTCTTTACCGAAGTTCTTCCGGCATGGGAAATGTTCTTTGACGGGGCGCGGTCTGATTGATCGGGGGCAGGAGTTGTTTTTGTATCACCCGAGAAACAAGTTTTGACATACTCGGTGGTACTGGGCGAGCTTTTCTCCAATAATGTGGCCGAGTATCAAGCTTTGATCATTGGTCTTGAAATGGCTTTAGAAATGGATATTACGGAGATTGAAGTCTATGGTGACTCAAAATTGGTTATCAACCAACTTTTGAAAGTATATGAGGTTAGGAAAGAAGACCTTATTCCTTTCTGTCAACACGCTTCGGACTTGATAGCGAAGTTTGAAAAGGTCATGTTAAACCACATTCCGAGGAAAGATAATAGGATGGCCGATGCGCTAGCTAATCTAGAAACCATTTTAGCCTTGTCGGAAGGAGAGACAACAAGTGTTCCCGTGTGTAATCGTTGGATTGTCCCATCGTTCGTTGAAGTTAGTCATGAAGACGCTAACGCTACATCAATTTCAATCAATGATGATCAAGATTGGAGAATACCATTGATCAATTATTTGCGAAATGGAGAATTACCCAGCGAAGTTCGTCGTAAGATGGGAGTAAGAAAAAGGGCGCCTCGTTTCATCCTTTACAAGGATACGCTTTATCGTCGGTCTTTTGAAGGCAATTACCAGCGTTGTTTGTACGGTGAAGAGACGGCCGAAGCAATGAAGGAAGCACATTCCGGGGTTTGTGGTGCTCATCAGTCCGGTCTGAAGCTACACTTTCAAATTAAGAGAATGGGCTATTATTGGCCTACGATGGTCAAAGATTGCTTGGATTATGCAAGGAGATGTGAGGCTTGTCAACTACATGCGAACTTCATACACCAACCTCCGGAGCCCTTATATCCTACGGTCGCCTCGTGGCCATTTGATTCGTGGGGTCTTGACGTCGTGGGACCTATTTCTCCTAAGTCGTCCAGAGGTCACGCTTATATATTGGCAGCTACTGACTACTTCTCCAAATGGGCGGAGGCTGTTCCTTTGAAGGAAGTGAAGAAGGAAACAGTGGTCGAGTTTATTCGTTCCCATCTTATCTTTAGGTACGGAATACCTCGATACATCATTACCGATAATGGAAAACCATTTTACAACAAGTTGATGGATAATTTATGCGTGCAATTTGGGTTTAAGCAACACAACTCCTCAATGTATAATGCGGCTGCGAATGGTCTAGCAGAGGCGTTTAACAAAACTTTGTGCAATCTTTTGAAGAAAGTGGTCTCAAAGTCAAAGAAAGATTGGCACGAGAGGGTCGGGGAAGCTTTATGGGCGTATAGGACGACATATCGGACTGCCACTCAAGCCACTCCGTACTCCTTGGTTTATGGGGTATAAGCTATCCTTCCACTTGAAAGTCAAATACCTTCGCTTCGTATTGCTGTGCAAGAAGGGTTAACCGCCGAGGATAATGCTCGTCTTAGACTTGAAGAGCTGGAGGCACTAGATGAGAAAAGATTAGAAGCTCAGCAACAACTTGAATGCTATCAAGCCCGCATGTCTAAAGCGTTCAATAAAAAGGTCCGCCCTCGTTCATTTCAAGTTGGAGATTTGGTTCTCGCAGTAAGAAGGCCAATTACCCTCACCCAGCGAATGGGGAATAAATTCGCGTCTAAATGGGACGGCCCCTACGTAGTGAAGGAAGCTTACACAAGCGGCGCTTACAAGTTAGTGGACAATGATGGATTACAGATTGGCCCCATAAATGGCAAATTCTTGAAGCGTTACTACCCTTGAAGAAACATTTACCTTCGAGGAAGAGAACATGGGAAATTGATGTTGCATGTTTGCTTGAACTACGTTATGACTTGATCCCTTTGAGGAGGGTACGTAGGCAGCTTAGACCCATATTCTAAGTTCAGTCAAACCAAAAAAAAAAAAAAATTGTTCTAAGTTGTTCGCTTGAACTACGTTATGACTTGATCCCTTTGAGGAGGGTACGTAGGCAGCTTAGACCCATATTCTAAGTTCAGTCAAACCAAAAAAAAAAAATAAAAAAAAAATTGTTCTAAGTTGTTCGCTTGAACTACGTTATGACTTGATCCCTTTGAGGAGGGTACGTAGGCAGCTTAGACCCATATTCTAAGTTCAGTCAAACAAAAAAAAAAAAATTCATTGTAACTGCATCTAAGCAAGCAGGTCGGTAATTTTCTTTAAGTTAACCAACTTGTAAAGTCAGGCGGATCCAAAAGTGTGCACATCCAAACTTATTATTTGCTACATAATGATGAAAAAAAAGGATGCCAAGACGATAATAAGGCCTTATGAGGAGCAAGAGAAAATTATATTGCATAAAAAAAAAGATGGAATGTTCTTTTACATCGAAAGATAGTAAAACGACATGAGAAAAAAAAAAAAATTAAAAAAAAAAATAATAATAGGGGGTAGCACTTAAGCGAACAAATCAAAAGCTTCTAGCTCCCGCCGAGATTCTTCAAGTAGTGCTTCCATCTTCTCCAAAGCTTCCATCTCATGGTTAGATAAGAATGGTGTATTCTCAAGACGAGAGATATTATCTCTTTTCATAGCCACAACCTGCTGCATCTTGGCCAAATCTTCTTCGACTTTACCAAGAATGAACTTGCTGATTCTTTCTTGTTCCTCAGCTCTTCTAGTTGCTTGGTGATTTCAAGAATTTCAGCCTTCACATTGTTCGCCGTTTCGACGAGCTCACTCTCTTGCAGTTCAGCCTCGGAAAGATCACGTTGCGCAAGCGAAAGAGACTTCTCGTGCATCTCTTGTGTCTCTCTCTGCGTGAAATCCGATTTGACCTTTGTGTATTGCGAAACATCTTCAAAATATGACTTCAAGCGCTTCTCCAACGGTGATATGTCTTTCATGTAAGCTTGCATGTCTTTGAGCACCTTCTCGATCGCTGGCTTTATCTCGGAAAGTTGTTGAAATGAAGTATTCATAATCTTTTGGGAAATCCTTTGCCAATAAAAATTCAAAAGTACTCTTTCGGCTTCACTTTTGATGATCTGAGGAGAAAACTCGGAGGCCTCACCATATGCCTTCTCGATTGTGGGAACAGGCAAAACTGTCTTTGGTTGTTGTTCAGTAGAAATCCTCCCCACTGCAAGAGAAGTTGTTTTTTGTCGTTTGTCTTGAGGACGCGAGGTGGCACCCGTTTCA